ACGGCTTTGGTAAAACATTTGAAATGGCACTTGATTAATCTTGAAGTAGTTTGGGTTGTAACCTCCTTTCAGAGCAACAACTACCTCCATTTCATGGTTCAAAAGCTCAGTTTTTCTAAGTGAGAAGACAGATTGGCTCAAGGTTAAATGCTTTAGCGAGACAGTCATTAGTGTGCAGCAAGTGAAGGCTGCTGGTCAGAGAGAAAAACTCCTTGATTTTCTTTGAGATATCTCTCACACAGACAATTTGGACCATGTGGAGCCAGGAGCCACAAGTCGATATCAAAGCCCTTGTGTTAGACAACTTCAAACTAAGATGAGTAATTAGAAAAATAGTTAAGTCTTCTCTTGGACATTTTTCCAAGAGCTTGCTTGGTATTACTGCACACCAAGAATGTCCAAGTTTACTTCATATGTGTTAAGTTTATAAAACACATTATCAGTTTTATGGTTTTAAGATTATTATAGCAGTTGATGTAGTTAAAAAAAAAAAGATCTTATGCAAATATACACATGTTATTTCATCAAGAATTATATCCAATACTTTACAGTTTTGAAGGTGTGTATCAAGTTTATGCCGGTCTTTTCATTAGCTGTTTAATGGTGTTGCCTCCGCTTGGGCAGGGTTAGACTATTTAAAACCAAGACATTTGAGAGTGGAGGCTGACTCATATTTCAAACCCTATCGCCCTAAATATATGTTCATAACAACAACAAACCTCTTTCAGAAAATAGGATTTAGAGGAAATGTACTGTTTTAATCAACATAATGAGGAACCACTTGCAGTATGTTGAATCTACAGTACATGCAAACTGCTCACTGCTACTGTATAACAACATGTTCATACTGAAAGTAACTGCAAAAAAAAGACCATCTTTTTAAATATTTAAACTTAAAAATATTTTTGTTGTCCATACAGTACCTGATGGACTCACAAAAGGAAGTATTTTTTAAAAGATCAAAATCAATGGACCACAACCAAAGATATTGTCTTTTTATTCCATTAATTCTTCATTAACAGACCCTACATTACCTATCATGCAACATGAGTTTTGGAGTCATGTGCTATGCTACAGTAGTAGACCCCCCCCCCCCACACACACACACCAACACTCACACACTTGTCAACTCCCACCTCCATGACACCAATTGTGCTTCGACATTTCTATTTCATAAATGTTGCTCTATGTTCCCAGAATATTAATTAAATTGTGTTTTATTCAAGGTTCTCCCTCAACAGAGATTTACCATTTATTTGCACATGCAGGACACTCTTTCATTTCAGAATTAGGCCCTTTATAGACTTGCTCCTTCAAAAGCTTTTCTGGTCAACCCAAGGCCAATAGTTCCCGACCCTTGTTTCTCTGCCAGGACCCCATTTGTTGAACGCACCCCTCTTTTATTATCCTTGACCTCCACAGCATTGTGTTGCAGCTCGACATTTCTCCCTCAATGAGTGGGTGGATAACAGACATCCTGGCAGACTGAAGGCAGCTACCTGTCAAACCCCAGGCTGCAAGCACAGACGTTCCACACAGATGTCTTTTCCTCTCCACCAACTGGACATCTGTGAATGTATGTCTTAACTTTTTTCTCAAGCTTCTTCATTTTATGAACAACACTTGTCTTGTGAGCTAAACCTCCAAAAATGTATCAATCTTTAAGCTTGAGATGAACACACGTGCAGTCACTTTTATTGTAGAGCTGCAGTAAATGATCACTGAATAATTGTTAATTAATTTACTAATTGGGTTATAAAATCATTAATCAATAAATCAACAAATCATAGTAACCAAACCTTGGTGACTCAGTAGGTGCTGTGGAGGTAAACATTTAACTCTCCACTACTTGGATACATTTCAATGTCAGCCATCCAACACGGCTTTCTATTCGGTGCTTTTAATAAATGTTCTTGTATCAGAAGTAACCTACGCCTGTCAAAAAGCCTCTCAATATAACCATTTGTGTTATAGACATATTTATACAGTACAAACAGCTTCAACCGATTGGGACCTGAACCATGTCACCTTTTTTGACAAGCGTGTCCTTATCAGGTCAGCTGCCATCAGTATCAAAAGCAAAAATAAAACATCAAATAGTGCATGTCCTGCCCACTGCAGCTGAAAAAGCTTAACGCCATGATCAGTGCTGGTTCAGTGTGCGGGTCAGTAAAGTATCCTCACATCCTGCGCCAGCCTCTGGTTTGGACTCCATGTCCTCCTGTCCTAAGGATAAGCTGCAGTGTGCTGTCTGCATTGCTGAGCATGCGACTGAGCTGTTGACTGTCCTTCATTTGATTAAACTGAATGACATCATGCAGAGACAAGGGCAGGGAGGATTGCCCTAACTCAGTCAATGCACACCCAGGCTACCATCTGTGCCAAAAACTTGGCTCTAACAGACCGTGCAGGTCCAGTTTAAAGTCCTCTTCACCTCTCGCAAGCTGTGATTCTCACACGCAGGGTTTTGATGCATTGTGCCACAGAGAACATGGTGCCGAGTAATATTAGATTTTAAATTTTGATTTTTGCTGCTGCACACAAATCGTGAGTGAATAACTGATCATTTTATACGGTCAAGGTTATTTACAGGATAGTTAGATTTTGTAAAGGATTGGCAACAAGAAAGAAGGTAATTTTCAAGCAAGGCTGCACACTTTTCCTAAAATAAAACAGTCAAAATCAATTTTTGAGGTTAACACTGACTTAAAAGATAACTAATGAAATGTTTATTTTTATATTAGTAAACTCATGCTTAACAGATCTATTGGTAGATAAACTGAAGACTCAATGGCAGATATTGGAGTAGCTTGACATACAAAAGTACAACTAAGTCAAAAATGTTTGTGATTTTATACAATATTTTATTCAAGATAATTGGTTTGCATGTGCTAAATGAGACGGTGTGACACCTCTGCATAGAATAGTCTGCTTTCTCTTGCCCTCAGAGAGAAAGGCTCGTCTCTCTGACTCCTGGTGGCGTTGACAAGTTGCTCATGCACCTCATTTACTGCCTCAGGTCAAACGCGCGCGTTGTATTTAAATGACAGCTTCCTAACAACAATGAAAGCTCATTGTCACACATATATATGGTTGAAAGTGCCTTGCATAGCAGTGGGAATTTGTTATGTTTTTTCTTTTAAAGAAAATCACAAAATGATGAAAATATTTCCTTGTCCAGTGTTGAGCATTAAAGAAATCATAAAATATTCAAGCCTAGTTGCAGATATTTGTGTTTAGGCTGGCTGTACTATTAAGTGTGCCTTGGAGCTTTGATGTGCCATTATTAGCTGTGTATGGGTGGCTAAGGAATACTAAATGTTCATTCAGTAGGTTAATCCAAATACTCTTCTTCCCTTTTCCCTTTCCAAGGCTCAGTGGGGCATTTAGTCATTTCTGCTGTAATTATCTCTCTGCCATTGGCTTAAACAGAAGTAGATTCTCTTAAATCCCACTCAACATTATGTGTGGATTATGAGGCGTAGTGCATGTAACAAGTTCTGACGGTTAAACTGTCTGTCTTGTTTTGTTGAGTATATGAGTAGAAATTAATAACTGCCTGATCATACGCGCATATGAACTAACAAAGACATTTTTTTTATTTTTTATTATGCCATACCACATACATGGAGTGGAAAAAGTTCTACAAAAAGAAGGTTATTTAAGTTGAAATGCCTAACACATCACTTTTCGTGTGACTTTCAAAGCAGCAGAAGGTAACCACACAACAGAGCTCCGAAGAGGCTTCTGTTACAATTAATTGGCAACAAATGCTAGACAAAATGTAAGTTGAGTAACTATAATAGTATCTAGTAGCTTTCAAATGTATAGTCATTTTTTCCTTGTTGTAAAAATAATACAGTGCACAGTATAAAGGGTTGAAAAGGGGCTGCTGCTATCTCTGTGGCAGTCTTTTTCAAGTTATTAATATGCAATTTTGCCTAGGTATATTAACACTATTTGATAGTGCTGTGACACTGCTATTAAAACAATAACTAAAATGTACAGTCATGTTAAGTACAATGTTGACATACTTGTACTTATGTATTTCCATGTTATTGTACTTTATACAGTATTTCTACTTCACATTGTGTGGCACCTGTCGTAACTAGTTACAGGTAAAGGCTCTGCACACCTGCTCAGGTGTTCCCAATTACTGATTAGTCCTTTAACCACGTGTGTGTGTTGGGTGGGGCTAAACTGTTAATTACCTTATGTCACCAAACTATATAATGCTTACTATTAAGATGGCTACTGTAAAACAAGGGAGAGAAAGATGTAGACAACAGATGTGCATACACAGTCCTGAGAATATCTTCAATTAGACAGCATCAGTAAGTGTTAACACCTGTGTGTGGTGACTGGTTTTGGAAGAAATCATTTACTATTCATAATTTCAGTGCATTTTATGATAGGCTACTATTCATGTAAGATGAATAATGGCAAACTGGAAAATGTTCTGATAATTAGGCTTCCGTGCTTTCTTTACAATATTATCCAAATATCCCATACGACATATTTTCTATACTAGGCAAAAGAATAAAGGAAGGAGCATTAAACACAGAATACAATTTTTCAAACTCAGATTGACCTCAACATGTTCACTGGTGTCAAATTGAGAAACTTCAAACACATTAAATTGTTATTCAAGTGAAAGGTTTAATGAATTAATAGTACAATCTTTTTTTTAAAGAATGTTAGCAGTGCTTTTACCTGTAAGATATTTGTATACTGCGGTGTGGATAACTTTAACGAGCTTTCTAATAATTAATCCACCCAGAATAATGAAACGTATTCATTGTTGGGCTTTGATTTCTTAGAAAGAAAAACAACCAATTACACGAACATTCCAGATAAGGAGGGTGATTTATTGTTAAGGCTTTGTTTCGTGATGACTTGAGGATGTGAAGAGCGTGCTGTGAACCTGCTTCGTGGACACAAAAACCGGAACACTACTGTACCCACAGTCTCCGATGTGATGCCCGATGTGCCACTGCCTCCGCGCGCAGGCAATTACAGTCCTGCTATCCTGTGTGGACTCTCGGACGTTAAGACTGAACCCCGTTGTGTGAGCACTTTCTGCCTCTCTAAAGATTCATACAACGACATTTAAAACCTTCTCACCGCAGACCTTTACGCTGCAAGCCACGGCAGCGTGTTTGGAGCAGCCTGGCGGCGGTGCGAGCAGGACTGCCGGGGTGCCCTGAGTGAACGTGCCGGGGACAGTGTGGAGGACCGGGCTGCTAGCAACTACTCGGACTCTGTAAAACAGCGAAGGAACCTGAGGGTGGAAAGAGTGTACGCCTTATTTTAAGGTAGCCTGCCCTCAAAAGGCAAAGAGGAGAGTTTGGGGCCATTTCTACGAGAGCAGCATCCGCACTTCGAAGTGACGAACTTCACTGTCGCCGTGGACTCGATGCTGGGAGCTGCTGGGCTGAAGGAGTGAGGAGATGCGCGGTGTAACATGGATATCCGAAAAGGGATAAATATCAACAAACACAGCAGGGAACATACTCAGGTAATTAACTACAAGTGTTTCTCGTGTTTATTTTCTGTATAAACGATATGTTTTGATATTATTAACACAGTATTGCTTGTTTCGGTCTCTGCAATCATCAGGCTGCTCTTAACCGTCAGCCCTCAGAAACTTCACTCTCACAGCGAACATAATTACTGTGAAATTGTGTAAAACATTCAAGTCATTTACAGAGTAATATCAGAATGAAGGTTATTTTCTTGTGGGTTTTTCAGACTATACTATTTATTTATGTCTCTCTTGGGCAATAGTAGGCAGCACACACACAGCCTTTTAATAAATGTCCAGGGTGAAATTGCACGTCAAGGCATATATTAGTGTTCATGCCTTATAGCCATGTGTCAATTGGAAACTAACAGGTTTGAAATGCCTATTCCCAATTGGTTTGTACAATTTCCACACATCCATTAGAGATAATAACAATCGTTGTGTCCTATTATTGCCATGAACATCATTTATACCATGCATATATTCTGCAAGAGGGCACAAATCCACCTATTAATTCTTAATTTAAAAGCTCTGACGGAACTCATTTGTTGCCAGTTATCAACATGGGGATTGGATTCAGTCCAGTCTCATCATCTCTCCTTTTCTTTGATTGCACCCAGCTCTGAGCCTGATTGCTGATCAGATGGCTAAAGTCCTTAAGCTTGTGTCTCTGTTAGAAATGGCTTTCCTCATGAAATCAAGTGAACACATGTTTGAGAGGGAGAAGCATCGCACGTTATGATTCTGCTATTAAGTAAATTAGAGGTGGCTTAGGATGAGTTTCTTCTGACATTTAATTCTTCTTCGTCACAACATCTTTACAGTTGGTGTCATTCTTTCCTTTGTTTGCAAGGAAGTCTCAGTGTTGTTAACACTTTGTTTTGTTTCATGTTGACATAATGCCAGCTGGATGTGCCCTGGGCATAACTTTTTCTACCAAAAAATGTGGTTTTAGTCCTTACACAAATACTTCTCTGGAGTGCAGTTACTCTTCTAACCTTCAGTATCCAAGTGTTTGGAGTAGTAGAGCTACTACACATCTCCTTGGGGAAGCGTGCATGGCTGGACACGTTTCAGATGATGTCACTGGTTTAGATAGAGCAGGAGGGTGTAACATGAAGTTTATAGTACCCCACTGAGCGGAGCCTGGAAAAACAGCACACAGACTCAAAGGGGTTGATGCAGGTAAAAAGTTGTGAATCCGGAGGACAAAAGTTTGGTTTGTTTTTTTACAGCATTTAACCTAACAGGGAAGCTTAGTAGGATCCACATGGCTCCTTCAGAAATTGTTTTCACTTTTGTGTTTTGCGGTTGATTCAAAACTAAAGGTATCCAGCGGAGTAGACCACCACCATTTTACCTGCAGAGCAGAGTACATTTTATGGTTATCAAATTTTGAACAATGATTTTTGTGACTTTATGTGTACAAACGCCTGACTTTCCCCAAGGGGATAAATAAAGTTCCATCTTATCTTATCTTATCTTTAACAAACTAACTAACTCCAACTAATTCACCCAGCCCCCTTGCCTCAGTGATAAATAGGGGAAAAACTTGCTGAGATACAAAGCAATTTGATGAACAAAACAATCAGCAATAAATGGATGCCATACGATTACTTTACCGAGAGAAATACACATGTTGACAGCATATACAGTACACACCAATATGTACATATGCAAACGCTTTAGGCCATTCTATAGTAAAAAGACAGAAATGATTGCCTCATGTTTTTATCAAAGGTTGCAGAGCTGAGAGAAGAATTGTATCGGATCCTTTCCGACACAATTCCTGCTTGCCAGGTCAAAAGAGCCAGCATCCTCATTATAAAAGGGTTTAAATATAACTTTTTGCAATAACAATGCAATGTTGTATTGTCTTTTGTTGGAATTGTGATATATATATTTGGTCTCAACAGAGCAGTGTATGGGTCTGGTGTAATATCACAGCTCTATAGAAATAATTTTTAAAATATCGGACCAGAACTTGATAAGTTTAGGACAGGATCAAAAGAGCTGTCCTAGTGTAGTGTAAGTTAGTGTCTGGAGTTTATACTTAACTTTTGCTTTGAGATAAGTTTCCCAGCTTTCCATAAGAATTGTCACGTCATGGTCCTTTTCCTAGGCTTCCTTAAAATACTGTTTGGAGACTGGATTTATGCTTTAAAAAGATTCACAAATCGAGAGGCAAGTCTCTTTGAGTCAGGGTACTGCTTCATCTTTGTGACTCTTTACAGTACAAGCTGTAAACGGAACAGCAGCAACACAAAACTCAAACTCTTTGCTTACCTATTGCCTTTAAATGTTTATAATTCACAACCACAATTTGTACTTGGACTGAATACAGATTGTTCCTCGAAATCAAAACTCCTCAGTACTTTGCTACATGTTTATTTTTTCATTTCTAATGCACACCAGCTCAGTGGGGTATTGTAAATTCACGATCCAACCTCCTCCTTTTCTTGAATCAGCAATATATTCAGACATATCCACCCATGGAAGATAAATATCATGTAAATTAAAGGCAATTTAATCCGTCTCTTCACATTATATATAATGTGTTACTCTGCTTTCGCTCAGCTGGATTTCTTTTAGTAAGCTCAGAAGAGACAAACATGGAGTGATATATATGGGAAAACATTTTGTACTTGTTATTTGTCAAGTTTTCACTTTAGAAATGAAAAGTCAGTTGATGTTTGATTGACATACGGATGTTGTTTTGGCTTATCTTGTTGTAGGTGCCTAATATTAGATTGTCATTATTAGATTGAATAGATTGTTGTTTTGAATGGGGCAACAGTTTGTATGTTTTTTTCATCTTCCAGACCTTTCGTCGTTATTATCCTTCTAGTTTGTATTGAAATATTAAGACTCGGTGCTCAAAGTGTGAGAGGATCCTTTTATTCCTCACAGTATTACTAGCTTAAGGTTATAGGCCTTAAAATGGCTTCACGTTATAACTCCTAGATTCCACCAAAGTGTTGCACCAAATATTTAAATCTGTATTTAAGAAACTATTTATTGGCAGACTCTTAAATCCAATTGGGATTCTTAATTAGTGCTTGAGTAAAGGCAGGTGCACTGGAATTGTCAACCACTTTCATTCAGAGCTAGCAAGAGCAGTATCATAAATACACAATATGTTTGCTGCAGGTGCCTAATTAGAGTGATTAAAATCTAGGCCACTCCAGTTATATTTAGTTTATTTCCAATTAAATAAAAAGTTACAGTGATGAATCAATTAACTTACATCTATCACTTTTATCATTTTAGGGCATTGCATGAAGTTTAACCATTTTAGGGCATGAGTGCATTGCTTGAAGTTTAACCATTTAATCAATAATGCTTAAATAAAGGGTATTCAGAAACATCCTGACTGAATGTTGATGCATAGCTCGATAAGGGTGTCTAAATTATTACCATATTCTGTGCTCATTATGCGGAGAATTGGGCTTGGGGCGTGTGTGAAAGCAGGAAGAACCTTTCCACATACTCAGTTGATGGTGTCACAGGGGAGATTGGGCTGAGCGCTTAGTGGAGCGCCCCTGGTGTGGTCTGGAGAAATGAAGAAGCTGGCATGTGTTATGTCATGCCTGCGGCTTGTGTGCTTAGATCAAAACACCATTAGTCTCTTTGTCTTGTGCCACTATTTGAGGTACAAGCTTGGCTAGGGAATATGTTGGCTCTTCCTTGACTCCCATGGTGTGCCATTTGGGAGGAATATAAATATTGGCACTCTCAAAAGCTTAAAAGTTTTAAGCTCATTGGTTATGTGAGCATAGAATCTTAGAAAGCAGGATGGTTGGATGGAAGTTTATATCGTTTTGAGGTTTGCTTTTTCATGCCCTTTAAACATTTAAAGTACCGTTGAGTTCATTACTTACAGTCAGTACAAGCGGAAGTAACATCTTCAAAATACCTTTAGATGAAGTGTCAGATTTATTTATTCCAAATTGTACTAGACACTACAAACATTTATTTTGGGTTTGGATATTACACCTACACTTATCAAAGACCATGAAGTACTTGCAAACATTCAAAAGAAAATCACTGGATAAAAAACTCACACTATCAATGAATACAATAAAATAATAATCTTAATTTCTCTCTTAAGGGTACGTTTTAATAATTAATTATTATGTGTAAAAAAACGTGAATACTTTGATCTGATTAGGAGCTGATATCATCATCAGGGCCACTCTACCGCAGAGCTGCTTTGTGAATCTTTAAATCATGTGCGCAGTGAATCAAAGTGCTGAGGACGAGGAAGACATTTCTCGTACTCTACTACGAGTCTCAACTCGGGCACCAGCAGAAAATGAATTTTAAATGATGTGAGGCACTCAGAGCCGTGGAATGAACCTCACATGCAGGCAAACACTGATCGAGCCGGTGTCTGCAGATCAAGTGCAGTCACAGCTCAGGTGATTAAAGATGCAGCATTGTATGCCATTTTCCCCGGTCTTGTCTCATTCCTGCAGAGTGTGAGAGTCTCGCCTCATTCATGATTCAGAGCCTGGGGGTGTGTGGGTGTGTGTGCAGTGCTCATGCATTTTATCGTGAGTTTTATCTTCATCTGGACTCTTCAACCAAAGGGACCTGGAGTACCCCTCTATTAATACATTTTTGAGACTTGAAAAATTGATGGCAGAAATCGGGTGTAGTGGAGAGGGTTGAATCAGCTGACATCACTGTCAGTTACTATGGCTGACTGAACTACAATCTGTGGTTTATCAACTCCAGCTGCTGCTGTCTGGGAAGAAGAGGAAAAGACGTGTCACTTTGACAACACTGACATTTGGTGAAGTGCTTTGTCTCCTCAATTCTGAGGCTTGCCTCAAAGCAGCTGCATTTCCTCAACAGTCAAACAAAAAGATGTGTTCAGATTTATATCCAAGCTTTATTCTGTTCTAGTACATGGCTTTGATTTCATGTCATTAGCTAAAGTCCCAGTACACTAGGGAATTAACCCTGACTGCCCTCTCATAGTGCAGGCTACGAGGAACTGATCCATTGATAACTAGTTGATATAAATAATAGTTAATGCATATCAACTTTTCCTGAAGCACGGGTTGCCTGAGGTCAGCTTTCTTTGCCTTGTTTGTCAGGCCAATAGTCCAAAATCAAAATATATCCAATTACAATGAAATGAAACGGAACAAGCAGCAAATCAAAACATTTGACAGGCCTGAACGAGTGAATTCTTGGCATTTTGACTGATTGATAAATGTGTTAAAATGTTACTCAATAATCCTCAAAGGAAAATGTGCTGTAATGTTGATGTCTTAAAAATAGCCTAAAAATCATCAGGAATGACAGTTATTATGGTAACTTGACATTTGAGTCTTTTGCCCAACTGTTACGGGAAATATTACCCACAGATGATGAAGTCAGAGGCAAGATCTCTGAGCTGCACCTGACATTTTGCAGATCTCTGCTCATCACCGTGACTTGCTTCTAATTAAAATGTTTTGATCTTCCAACATCTACAGTATCACCGGCGGTTTGGCCCTCTTTCAGTAAACCAATGTCCGAGCATTTGAATTTGGTAGATACAATTTATATTCTTTCAAAAATTGACAAAGTACTTAAGCTGAAATGTCAGTTTCCTGGGGAGGAATATGAGGCACTCAACAGAGATAATGCCGCCCATCACACGCTACAGTTAAATCATTACCCCAAAGAAATATAATTTGTATATGTGTGTCATTTATCGGATTGATATTTTGTGTGTTATTCTCCAGCTACATCATCTGCATTTGTGAAACGAGAGGCTGAATTCGTCAAATGTATCACATCACTGTTGTATTACATTTAAATGCAGTTGAGTTACAAATTGGGTCAGGAAATGTTTAGGCTATGACATCACGTCATTCCGTCCTTGATCATATTACAATTTTCAACCACTGGCTTTTTTTCCGTAGATATGAAGGAGGGTGAAACTTGAAAGGCGAAGTTTGAAAGCCTTCCCTATCATTAACTTTCATCTCAGGCCGTAAACAAATGAGAGAATCAATTTAGGATGAAAGTAAGTCATTGGTCTTGTCACTACCACTTAAGGTAACAAGGGTAATTCATTTTACTGAAGAGGAAGTCAAATACTGCCATGGACACTCCCGGCTCCTCTAGCCACCATCTCAGGGCTGAGCGTCTTTGGATCAAAAGGCGGTCCTTTATCCCCCACTAACCTGCCGTCTGATGTCTCCTGTAGAGATCAAGAGAGTGCTGTTAGAGTCCAACAGATACTTGCTTTTATGAATGTGGTGTGTCAATGTTCACACGTCCCGGTCATGTTCGCTTTTGCTGCTGTTTTGTCAAATTGCAGCAACTGTTTTCCAAGCAACTTTTCCAAATAACATGGCATAATGTGAAGTTGGAATAAATTGTTTTGCTCAGTTTCTAGGCTCCTGTTTTTCATTTAAACAACATCGTGCGGAGTAATTTATTCAGCGCATCTCTCACAATTATTTCCTCAAAGGAGGAGCACTCCAAAAATATCCAGGAGCTCAAGAAAGGATTTCAAGTCTCTCTGTTTTATTATTAAAAGCCAACATTTACTCATGACATTTGCATCCTAATAACTGCAAGATAAGTTGGAGCTAGGATGACACTCTAAACCCAATCTCCATAATGAGATGTATAGGGGAACAGTGTTACCTTTTAATGGTTTAGTATACGCAGAAGGAAGAGAAGTGTAGGCGACTGAGACACAGCTGATATATTCACATAAGCATCAGCATGCTCCGACATGCCTTTCAGTGGTGTGAAGATAAGAGGCCTGCAGATAACTGGGAAACTATGAAAGAGTAATCTTTCTGTTGTCTCTGCTTTTTGGCACAGGCCTTTTGATAGACTATACTGTATGTTGCTATTAATTTTTTTCTCATTAATTTCAGCCTGCTGACTCTGCCATCAGTCAGTTAAATGTACCAGGGAGGGAGTCAGTCTGAGCAGAGACGATGGATAATTTCCTCTCTTCATCCTCCTTCACTCCATAACCAGCCTTTCACACGCAAACATGTATATGCTGCTTTATCATAAAGGATCATAGCTATCAAAGTATAGGGGGCGTTAGAGCATTTTCGCAAATAAAACATCATTGTTTATCAGTGACGGGAGGAATTTGTCTCATTATCATTTCACAACTTTTTTTGGGGGGACTTCATTTGAGTCTTAGCAGGGATGAATTACGGTTAAGTCCTTGAGAAAAATCAATTGTGTGATTCTCTCGGGGGACCTAAATTGTTTTGCCCTGCGTACACTCATCTCTTCAGAAATACATAATCCCTCCTGCTCAGACGAACTGGAGGAGCCAGGACAGTTCTTTATCACATGTTAGAGAAGTGTCTGACCACCAGCTTGCTTTTTGTTTTGTCTCAGCAGGTTTGAGAACAAGCAATCCCTTTATGCTTCTCTTGAAGACAGGATCCCTATTATGCAATGTTAAGCACACTTAAGCAAACGCTACCACACAAGTGTTTAGAAGTGCTTGTACAACTCCTTTTCTGAACACAGTCTGGGTATAATCTATATCTGTGAGATCAAGAAACGGCTCTATCCCAATGTGACCTGAAAAGTGTTTGCAAAGATTGAATGTTATCAGATAATACATATATTAGTTTTTACCTTGCTTTTGTTTTGTATATTACAAACATTGACCCCCTCCTCCTGTTGTTTTCTAATGGCTTCCCCCCTTATTCTCTTTTCATTTGACAGAAACACCGGGAAAGTGCCGAAAAGGACAAAGCCAGGAATCTACACACCTGTGATTTGATGTGAGCTCGTATTGACCTGAGACTATTAAAATGGAGTTGCTATGGAAACTTCTACTTCTGCTGTCGTTGGTGGAGTGTATGGCAGGTAAGGCTCCCAAGCATACTTTACTTTTCAAGTTGTTAGCAAAGGGGTTATGGATTGTTTTTTATAGATTTGTTGGCATAAAGAACAGATGGCATTACAATTGTAAATGGAAAAGTAAAGGTGTTATGGTATGGAGCTCCCAAAGCTTTACTACAGTTTTACAAACAGTAGGAAATGTTAACCTTATTGTCAGCTCAAGACAGCCAACAATTCCTTCAGTTGTGCTTAGCAGCTATATCTCTTTTTTCCTGCCAGTGAATTATGTAGAAAGAAGAATAAGCCAGTCTTCTATCTATGAGAGACGGCCCCTTTTTTAGTGGTTGAATGTGCAGTCATTCATTCTAAAGAGCCCCTCAATTGTTACCCTCATCGAGATTGCGCTGGCAGTCGTGCCGATATCTTGTCATTGATCTTGCTTTTAATGAGACCTAATTTTCCTCCCTTACAAAATGTTCAGGGTCAAATGCTAGTTCTCTTCTGAATGTCAGAGTCTGAAGCTGAGAACAAGATGAATAAGGGTTTTGTCGCATGAGCACAGTTTCTTGAAGAATTAATAATCTTTCATGTTGCCTTGCTCCAAATCAGCAGCCCCTCCAAAAAGAATTAGAGTGTGTGCGTGCAAGCATGTGCGTGTGTGTGCTTGTAACGGTCATTGTGTGTGTGTACGACAACATCACGTCGGCACCTACATTTGCCTACATGGCAATTAGCACCATTTATCACTAAATCCAATACACATCAGTGGTTGTCTAATGAGGCTTTCCTCGGGGAACTGTGATTCACTATGGGATTAAGGATCTACACCACATGTCTGAATCACATATTATGTCCTACTTAAGCATTCTGTTAAATATACAGACGAGCAAATGTCTTCGAAATCGGTGGAAATCCTGCCACAAACCTGACAGATTTGTGATCAGACAACAGGAGAGCATTAAAGTCTGCGCCGCACAGCCATAAACTGTACTCCTGCAATCCTGAGGTGCAGAAACCACATTCAGGGTTATTTATTTAAAACAAATTAGTGCTTAACAAAGGAGCAGAGTGCAAACACTTTCTGGAAAGCATTGTGTTGCACAGCCCTTGCCTCACTCTCGAGGCGCACAGTCAAAGACACGGAGTAACCCAGCATTAATATTCAGTAAGGGGTTACATTACATATGCTCTGCTTGCAAGACAAGTATGGCGCAATATAACGATAGACCTCCAAAGCCTCTATTTTAGTATGCAGGCTTGCAATACTGGGTTGAGAAGCACAGTGTGAGGGAGTTACATTAGATAGGTGGTCCTGGCTAGTTTATTTATCCAGACTTGGACGTTTTTTTTGTTAAACAGTAGGCATTGGCTGTGTGGGAGAGCAGTGGGGCCAAGGGGAAGTCATTCCCATAGTGAGTTCATCGAGAGTTAACCAGCTCTACACTATCCCTCCCACGGGGGGTCTGAACGGCCAGAGACCGGGGCGTGTACTGCATGTGTGTGTGAATGAGTTAAGTTAGAGCAAGGGAGCAAAGAAGAGGCATTGAGTTAGGGCTTATGCTTTCCCCGCACGCACGCACACACGCACGCACGCACGCACACACACACACACACACACACACACACACGCACACACACAGCAAACCTCCTCGCAGAAAGCCACTTCCAGCATTAGATCAACAGTTCCTATCTCACAGAAGTGGTTTTATTCATACAGTCAGAACCATGTTGGTAGATCACGGTCACAAAGGTGTAACCAAGAAAACTCAATTTATTCTTACAGATAAAGTCTATAAGGATTGGAGAACAATGGAGCAACATCTGTTAAATTAACTCCCTACATTATTCAAAAAAACATTCAAATATATCAAAGAGATGTCATACAGCGATTTGGTAAAAGAAAATCTCAAATATGCACCTTCTGTGCTCTTGCTATAGAACCACTTGCTAAAAACATAATTAATTTGATGCAAATATTGATTTAAAACATTTTACGACAAGCTCAATTAATTTACATGCGTCTTCCTAAAAATAATTGGCAGCAGCAATCAAACTAACATCTGTTGTTACAACTAAAGAGCTACAATTGAGCAGAATTGGAAACAGAATGTTTTACAAATCAAGTTAGATTGCTGTTATGGCTTTAACCAGCAATCAGATGTCTTTTGCTTTCAGCTAAATTCAGAATGAATATGGGAGAAATGTTTCATGGTTAGTTAAATGGGTGTCAACAGTTTCAGAGAAGTAATGCATTTTGGCTCCCTGTCTTTGTGTTTGATGTTGTGAAGAGGAGCTGCTCAAGGCTGTTGTCTACATGTTTTCTAAAGAGACGCACTTTATTTATTTGATTTAGAACATTCTGTATTGGTTTGTTTACTTAAAAATGTAGGTTCATCGTGCTTAGTCTTATTTATTCATATATATATATGGTATGGACTTTCTTCTTACCAGGTAAATGTGTCTGCATGTTAACGTCTCCTCTTAGTATCCTAAACATACATTGTTTATTTTATTTTAGACATAGGGTTTGACTATAGAATGCAATTCAAACACAATATGAGATTGGGACCTTTGCTGGAAAAACATTTAGTACCTGGTCCTCTATACATTTCTATTGCATATCATAGCTTTAAAGGGTTAGTTCACATATTATACAGTACATGTATGTCTGTCTGAATACAATTGTGACATATCCATATGTCCATACTGGTTGTGAAGACATCTTTTTCTAAAGTGACGTAAGTGATTGGGGACAGCCTTCGTTCTGATTCAAAATTGATTGAAGTTTTGTATTCACTAATTCAACATTTTGAGTTGGTCAAGTACAGTGCATCCAGAAAGTATTCATACCCCTTCACTTTTCCCACATTTTGTTATGTTACAGCCATATTTCAAAATTGATTAAATTCATTTTTTTTCTCAACATTCGAGACACAATACCCCAAAATGACCAAGTGGAAAATGTTTTTAAATGTTTTTTGTAAATGAATTAAAAATAAAACACTCAAATATCACATAAACATAAGTATTCACACCCTTTACTCAATACTTTGTTGAAGCACCTTTGGCAGCAATTACAGCCTCAAGTCTTCTTGAGTATGATGCTACACGCTTGGCACACCTATATTTGGGCAGTTTCTCCCATTCTTCTTTGCAGATTGTCTCAAGCTCCATCAGGTTGGATGGGGAGCGTCGGTGCACAGCCATTTGCAGATCTCTCCAGAGATGTTCAATCGGGGTCAAGTCTGGGCTCTGGCTGGGCCACTCAAGGACATTCACAGACTTGTCCTGAAACCGCTCCTTTGTTATCGTGGCTGTGTGCTTAGGGTCGTTGTCCTGTTGAAAGGTGAACCTTTGCCCCAGTCTGAGGTCCAGAGCGCTCTGGAGCAGGTTTTCATCAAGGATCCCCCTGTACATTGCTGCATTCATCGTTCCCTTGATCCTGACTAGTCTCCCAGTTCCTGCCGCTGAAAAACCTCCCACAGCATGAAGCTGCCACCACCATGCTTCACTGTAGGGATGGTGTTGGCCAGGTGATGAGCGGTGCCTGGGTTCCTCCAGACATGATGCTTGGCATTCAGGCCAAAGAGATCCATTTTGGTTTCATCAAACCAGACAATTTGGTTTCTCATGGTCTGAGAGTACTCTAGGTGCTCCATGGGGGCTTTCATGTGCCTTTGGCTTCCTTCTGGCCACTCTACCATACAGGCCTGATTGGTGGAGTGCTGCAGAGATGGTTGTCCTTCTAGAAGGTTCTCCAATCTCCACAGAGGAACACTGGAGCTCTATCAGAGTGATCACCGGGTTCTTGGTCACCTCTCTGACTAAGGCCCTTCTCCCCCGATGTTCAGTTTGGTTTGGGCGGCCAGCTTTAGGAAGAGCCCTGGTGGTTTCAAACATCTTCCATTTGCAAATGATGGGACGTTCAATGCTGCAGACATTTTTCTGTACCCTTCCCCAGAACTGTGCCTTGATACAACCCTGTCTCTGAGGTCTACAGTCAATTCCTTGGACCTCATAACTTGGTTTGTGCTCTGATATGCACTGTCAACTGTGGGACCTCATATAGAGAGGTGTGTTATTTTCTAAGACATGTCCAATCAATTTAATTTACCGCAGGTGGACTCCAATCAAGTAATAGAAACATTTCAAGGATGATCAGTGGAAACAGGATGCACTTGAGCTCAATTTTCAGTGTCAAAGCAAAGGGTGTGAATACTTATGTACATGTGATATTTCATTTCATTATTTTTAACACGTTTGCAAAACATTCTTTAAAAACGTTTTCGCTTTGTCATTATGGGGTATTGTTTGTGGGAAATTGAGAACAAAAATGAATTTAATCCATTTAGAAATAAGGCTGTAACATAACAAAATGTGAAAAAAGTTAAGGGGTATGAATACTTTCCAGATGCACTGTATACCCTAAAGTCTTGGTCATTTGAATTCCAAATTCCCTTTATGTCTTTGTTCGCCTCACAGTAACTTAGACTTTGGTTGGAGCTCTGTGGCAACAGACATTTATAACTCGTTTTGTTCAGCTAGATAATCCCCACAATAAATTACATCAAGGTTACATGGCTGCGCATCACCAAGCTAAAACTAAATCACCAAACCAACACTAAGCTAAAGGAGAACTTGTGTCGGTGTGATGACGTTTAGTGGCTTATTTCGACACTAGTTAGCAACCACCGTTTTTATGACACATAGAAGCATCGATTACTGACGTATTTAATGTCGTAGAACGAAAATCTTTTAAGCTTGTGTTACCTACAGAACTTATTTCAGGCTTCTAATCACACACGCGTTGAAATTCCTTTGACTTCGAGACAAGGGAACTGGGATTTCTAAGTAATTTCTGGGTTTCAGGACTCATTCCTGCACCACTCTTTTACAGAGACCTGAAAACTGCATACATTTACATATGGTTATGCAAGTATAGTTTCAGGACTGACTCAAATGGATGTCAAATCATCCTTTAATATGACACAGACAGTGGTCACCCTTAATAAAAACTGACAAGA